AGTATCTCCCAGGAGTGGTGGTCCTCACAAGGCCATCACAACCTGTTGTTGAAGCCACTGTGGTCAGGATGTGATGGGCAAAAACTCAGTGTCAGTTTAGCAAGTAAACGCAGTTCATTGTGAAAGAGCTTCAGCCTGCCTCTCTTAGAGTAACAGATTCAAAATAAGAAACATTGTACCTTTGTCCTAGATGGTTTTTTTTTTTTTAAGATTTATTTATTTGACAGGCAGAGATCACAAGTAGGCAGAGAGGCAGGCAGAGAGAGAGGAGGAAGCAGGCTCCCTGCTCAGCAGGGAGCCAGATGTGGGGCTCGATTCCAGGACCCTGGGATCATGACCTGAGCCGAAGGCAGTGGCTTTAACCCACTGAGCCACCCAGGCGCCCCCTAGATGTTGTTTTTGTGTGGACTTGTGAATGAGTGATCCCCTGTAATGTCACCATATTACCTTCTTCAATTAATTTCTAATTTCATTTAGATTTTAAGTAACAGATGAACTGTGTTGTAGCGTGCAGAATTTGTCAGCTTGTTTGGTTTTTGTCTCAGGGGACGCCCTCTATACCTGCAGCTGCCACTCTGTCTACAGTAATATCTGGGGATCTGGATCTGTTCACTGAGCAAGCTACAAAGTCAGAAGAGGTGGCAAAGAAACAACTCTCCAAAGACTCCATCTTATCTTTGTATGGTACAGGAACCATTCAGCAACAGAGTACTCCTGGTAATTCATTTTAAAATCTGCTGTCAACAACTTGTAGTGACTAGAAATATACCCGTTGTTATTTTTCTATGTAATGAGTGCTTTTGTTGCAATTTGTGCAAATACAAAATTGAAATGAATCATTAGAATTAAGCATATTACAGGATTCACAAAACTTTATTCACTTAGAATTAACAAGCTGTTCATGTATCACTTAATATTCTTTCACAAGCTTACAGGACATGGTTTTTGAAGAATTACCTTGATTTGCATGAAGTTTACAACTTTTGTGTACAGTATTTTTCTGTTAGTAAACAACAAGCAGGGTTATCACAAGAATTCCAAAACTTCGAGTTTTTAATAATTAAAATGAAATACTGCACAGTAAGATTTGTTGTTTACATAATCTGTTAGACCCCTTTCCTCTAAATAGTGAGCTGAAGTTAGAGAACATCCCACCTGCTTCTATTAAAGGCAGACACCATCAACTCTCACTTGTGTGTTTGATAGGGGGAGCCCAGTGGTACACATCTACACGAACAGCATATAATCTTATGCTACGTAGTTTGGGTATTTTCTATAACTATTGCATAAGATTTATTTGTCCTAATTAAATGTGCTCAGGTTTATAACTGCCTTCTGGAAGTAACCAGTTATGAGAGTATTGGTATGAGTTTGAGCAGTAGGAGCAGACTGGAATTAAAATTTTTGCCGTGGGTAGTTCAGAAAGATGGTGATCCTTTTTCTGTGATTACAGAGGTAAGTGCAGTTGTATACAACAGTCCTGTTTTCTCATTTTCTTTTCACGGTTCTTAAAAATGTAGGTGTGTTTATGGGACCCACAAATATACCATTTACCTCACAAGCACCGACTGCATTTCAAGGTTTTCCATCAATGGGCGTGCCTGTGCCTACACCTGCAGCTCCTGGCCTTCTTGGAAATGTGATGGGACAGAGCGCGAGCATGATGGTGGGCATGCCCATGCCCAATGGGTTTATGGGAAACGCACAAACCAGTGTGATGCCACTTCCTCCAAATGTGGTTGGCCCGCAAGGAGGAATGGTGGGACAGATGGGTGCACCCCAGAGTAAGTTTGGCCTGCCACAAGCTCAGCAGCCCCAATGGAACCTCTCACAGGTAAGGGGTCATTTCCAAAATCAAAGAGACTGGTTTATTTTCTAAATGGTTTTATTTAATCTAACAACCTGGCAGAAAGATTTGAGTAGGGGTAATGTATAAGGTGAGAACTGTTCATAGGTATTACGAAGTTACATCACATAGACAAATGAGCTGTCAATGACTGATTGAGAATATGCTGTAAAGAAATGTTAAGCATTTTTTCATTTCAGGTTGTAACACTGGCGAACATCCTATTTGTAATCACTAGAAATTATCTTGGGCATCTTGAGAGACTTCTTGTCTGTTCCACGCCCGCCCCCTCACCCCCCCCATGGAAATTAGCATCAAGCTTTTAACCCAGCTCCCTGGTGGAATATTTTAATAGTCCACTTAGACCAGCCTCCTCTTCTCAAAAGCACTATTTTATGAGGGATCTAGGCTGTTCTCTATGTCATTTGACTACTGCCCTTGGCTTTATAAGAAATACTTTTGTTTAAAAACCTTTATAATGTTGGGTTTCCTTTTTACTTAGGGACAGGTCCACATTTGTCTCAGACATCGCTTTGTATGTAAGTTTAAAGCCAAAAGCTGACATTTTAGTATACCTTCTTTCAAATCAGTTTCTGTTTTAGTGCTCCATTATTCTGACCTTAGACTTGGGTTCATGCTCCAGCAACTCTTCCCTTCACAGTTCTTATTTGATGTTCCTCTAGCATTTGGGGGATCTTGGTTTCGGTTCTGGTCAGTTGTTTACCTTGAGAACATTCTGGGAACAGTCTATAGTGATAACTAACATTACCAAAACACTGTATATCACATGAATGCTTTTACGGTCACTATTTATAGTAGTCTCCACACCCAGTGTGGGGTTCATACTCAAAACCCTGAGGTCAAGAGTTCTATCCTCCACCGACTGAGCCAGCCAGGCACCCCTCTAGTCACTATTTAAAGGAATTACCAGGGGATGGCTCAGTTGGTTGAGCATCGGACTCTTGATCTCTCCTCTGGGAACCTCCAGTACCAAATGGCAGTAACAGCTTTTGTGTAGACAAAGTGCTGAAGCACATCCAGCTCAGGTTAAGGTACTTAACCTTAAGTTAAGGTTAAGGTCCTTACTTCCAGGCATGCTGAGGGGTCCTGCTGTTTTCCAGAAGCCTCTCAGTGCAAGGTTGTTATAGCATCCTTTAGTAGGTATGAGGAACTAGACACTTACGCCTTATCAGCAATGTGGGGTATTAGTGTTTTTGCAAAATAACAAATGAACTTTATTAAGAATACATTCCAACACTGAGCATAGATTTTGAATCCACTCTGTGCTTTGTGATAAATCTTACCTTTCCTTTACTTATCATCAATCTTAGAAGGGAGAAGGTTAGGATGCTTCTATACATATATAATTCCAGTCTGGAATAAAAATACAGGTAATCTTACACCTTATATAATGAAAATTAATTTTAGATGTTTAGTGGTTAACTGAACTAAAGTTATGCATTATGATCTTTTTTAATATTTAGAAAACAGAACCATTTAACATTTTAATGAAGACAGAATAATAACTGTCATACACAACGTATAATTTTGGAATATTTTACTTTCTAAAATTTCCCCAATCCTTACCGTTAAAGCACGACATGCTGGTAGAGTTGAAAGTTAGGATAGTGGACTCAGATACAAATTCAAAGATTGCTTTGCTACTTTTTTTTTTTTTTTCCAATTTGAGGTTAATCTTTGGCAGACAAAAAAATGAAGTCTTGAAAATGAATAAATAGAATATAATTGAGATCATTTTATGGACAGTGTTAAAAAAGGTGGAAGGAAATGAACAGGAAGGGAACAAAGTAGCTTTCTCTAGGGAAATATTGTTTGGTAGTCTGCTTTTACTCCTGTGCTTTGACTGATTTTCACATTGATGAAAAATACTTACATTTGCTATTAAGCTTCATTATCTGATAAATTAATCTCAAAGGCAGCTTCTAATACAACAGGGTAACTTAAAAATGTCTAACTATGGCTAAAGAAACAAGAATTAAAAGTGAAGTAAGCCTCTTAAAATAAGATTTTTATGTTTCACAGATGAATCAGCAAATGGCTGGCATGAGTATCAGTAGTGCGACCCCAACAGTGGGTTTCGGCCAGCCCCCCAACACAACAGCAGGATGGTCTGGAAGCTCATCGGGTCAGACTCTCAGCACACAGCTGTGGAAATGAAAACTGCAATGCAAGTTTCATCCAGAACTACCACCTGACATTCCTTGCTAAAACGCATCTAGTTCCCCTGTTTATTCATGTACATATATTTTTTTCTTTTCCCCCATTTGTTCATATTAAGAATTATCTGACTGACCGTGTTGGTCTGTACTGATTAAATTTGATGTGAAAGCAGGTTGAGAAACCATTTTATGTCAAGGGCAGCTTAGCTCCTTTCCCATGATTTCTTAGACCACATTATTTGAGAAGCTGTTCAGTCAACTTGCGTAATCAGTTTTACTCTCAATAAAATTATAGCTCTAATGTCTGCATATAAGGGAAGTAGTTATCATGTTAGTAATACCTCTAACAGTATAAACCCCACCCCCAAATTAGCCAGTAATCCTGTAGGAAGGTACTGTATGATCGAACATTTAATCATATAAATAGAATGTAAATGTATCACTGAGCACTGTTTTCTAGTGTATCAAAATTCTTTTATTTCATCATTCACTTCACTGTGCTGTTGTTATGATGTGCTTAACAGGGAACGTGGTTAGTGAAAGGAAGATAAACCTGGATGTTACTACAAAACTTAGTTTAACAAATGTTTAAAGAACTCAAATTTTATCTGCCTCTCTTGTAATTTGGAGCTCTTCTTATGTACATAGTGCTAATGACACGAAGACCTTTCTCTGCACTATATGCAAACAGGGTAACTAAACAAAGCCACTTTCAATCCTTGAAGGTAGATCCAGGTTTATGACAGTAATTGTGTTTACATCTTATGGTGCCTAGTATTGACAAAATGTTATATCCCTATATTAAACAGATGAATCCATAGACCTTTTTATTTTTGTGGGTTTTATTTCCTACAGTGTATACTGCCACCAACCTTACAGAACTTACTTAACATTGCAAAGTGAGGAACTGGGAACATTTAGTTGACAAAAATGCCTGTTATTTGTTTCTAAAACCTGCTAAGTTCTACCAGTTAAAAGGCCAAATGGGAAAAAAAAAAGTACGTAAGGTACTCACAACGGAACCCTGCAGTGGCACTAGCTGTACTGTACAAAGACCAGTTCAGTTGTAGGGAAGACACGCAGAACAAATGAAAACAAAACGTACACTTGCTGCCACCCCATCAGCTGTGTGAACTGACCAGCTCTGCTGAAACAGACGCCTTGTCAGATGTCTGTCAGATGCCAACATGGGCTGTCGTCCTGAAGCCAAGCGAACAATACCTGAATGTTCTGCAGCCTGACCTCGGGGCTCCTCTCCCACGTCCACTAGCCGGCAAACTGCACCAGCTGCTGCTTCAGTTTATACCTCAATTTTCACTGTGTCCAGGCGGTACTTCGGCTCGTTGGCTAGGTTGACCTTCTCTGTCCGAGTGTGCCACACGAGGACCTGGAGGGGAGGGAAATCTTTTGGGTAGCCACACTTCTTAACGCTGACACTCAACAAGGTCAAGCAGCACAAGTGAAATGAATACCTTGGTGCAGTTACTTGCTTTTGGTTCCAGTTCTTCAACTGTTGTTATCTGTTTTAGAAAATCAGATTCTTGCATCCCTGGCTGGGATCCACGACGCTTAAATACGGCTTTTGGATTGGACAAGATGACTTGAAGACTTACAGCAAATCCTTTGTGAAAAGTTAAAAAAAAAAAAAAACTTTAAAATAAAATACTGGTGTACTTCTCTTTTTTCTTTAAAAATTCGGACAAATCAAAAATTTTTCTAAATGCCAAGTATGTGCCAGGTCTTGGTTCACGAAGTTGAATTAGGAGCATTACACATGTGACAGTCTCAAAAGGAAAACCAGTCATTACAATGTAGTACCTTCAGGGCCACGACAAAGGTGTATGTGCGGGGTGGGAGCAGGGACAACATCTACCGTAAAATACGAAGTCTAGGCTGTTGCTAATCAGCTGCTCGTTCACAGAGGTCATCACGCCCCGACACTCGGCTCTCTGGGAATTAAGAACTACGTGTAGTTGAAGAGCACACAGACTTACCCTAACTGTCCTCTGGGTGTGAGTGTGCCCACCGAGTCCTCCTGCCTATTCTTTAAGTTTTTTATGTGTGCTCTTATCTGAACAGTGCTGCTGTGATTTGTGATTTACTTTAAATTTAGAAGATTGGGGAATAGAAGTCAGGTAGGTAGGAAATGAAAAGTATATAGTCATTTGGTTTAAATTTCCAGTTTGGTTCAACCTGACAAGGGTGGGGGGGTTTGGAAATCAGTGCAGGAGATATCAGTCCCATTTGATAAATTTGGTTTGGGGGCTTAGTTTCTTTAAGGAAACAAATGACTGTCAATTTCTTTCAATGGTTTAGTCATAAAAATTATTACTATTTATATCTGTAGTTTAATAAACCCTGTTTTAAAGGCTTAGCCATTAAACACTCTATAAGCTATCTAAGTAAGCAACTGCTACAAACTTTGTAGTTCTGAAAGTCTGAAGCCCTAGACCTCTGCTGGTGATGACTAAGCAGACACTCTAAAGTCAGACACCTTCCCAGAATTAGCTGTGAGGACCAATCCCCAGGAGCACTTCTTAGCAACATTTTGCCCCCTTCATTAACTGAGTTGATTTGTGTGTTGTTGTTGTTGTTGTTTTTTCCCAAAGTATAGTTAACTAAGTACCAAATGATCTCAGGCAGTAATTGGGGAGTTGTGAGAAAACCACAACCAGCATTCTCATCACCTCTCCACCTGCCAGACTGGGCCAGTCCCACATCTAGGCCCTGCCTCCTCTACAGGAACACCTCCCGCAAAGCCACCTACAAACACATCACATGCTGAGTGACACATAATAAAGCCTTAACCTGAGGACTGGCTGCCCCAGTATCCTCCACAAGTCCTGGGTGGAAGCAGCACATTCTAGCAGAAGGAACATTAAATCTGGAATTAGAAGCCTTTTGTTTTTGCCTGGATCCTTGTACTTGGGACATTGGTCAAGTTACCTAAACTTTCTTGATCCTGAAACTTCCCCATTTCCTCATCTGCAAGAGGTGTGACACCTTTTCAGCTCACTGTAAAATTCGTGAATGGAAAGACCCCACTAACCGCAAAGCAGTGTTCAACACAGTATATAAATAAAAACACCATTATAAATATCATGAAGGGCAGGTGTCTTACGGCTGGACAATGGTTGATGACAGGAAAAGGGCCTGTGAAAGTGGTGGCAGAATCAGGCCACCTGCATGCATCTCGCACCGCTGGGCTAACAAGTCTGACAGCTCAGACAGCTAAACAGCCACAGACCTCTTCAGCAAAAAGCCAAAGGTTCAAATTCACACATAAAAAGTGACTTTTCTAATAGGTGAACTTTGACTTTCGTGTCCTATGATGCCTTCTTTTTCTATAGATGAGGACTGCCCTTCTCAATCACTCAAGATTCAGGTATATTTTTCACATGGCTTCAAGGTACTCTTTCCCCATTCTTACTAAAAAACAAAACCCAAAAACGTAGAGAAGTCTGTCAGAAAATGCTATGAACCCACTTTGATTCTCTTCATTTTCCCTTGTCTTTAACACATTCATCATGGTGACCACTGAATGTGTATTTTCTTGCTTTCCTTGGTTCAGGAACAACCTCTGTTTCTTACAAGCAAACTTACATAGCACAGTGTACAACTTCCACAAGCAAAGCCGATGGCTGGCCCTTTCCTGGCCTCACTGGAGGAAAGGGTGCACCTGGCAGGCCAGCACCCTGGGAAGAGATGGTAGTGGGTGGCTCACCACAGTAACAAAGTGGTTTTCTGTTTTCTAACACACAAGGGGGAGGTGGGCAATTCAGACGCTCTTCAGTCTCCTACCCCCTTTGCTGCGCCCCTGCTCAATGAGCGCTTCAAAGGAAGCAGGTCACAGCCAGCATGTAGGAACCACACACTAACTAGGCCCAAACTCTGGGTTGCCTTTCAGGGAATCATCTGACCTGCTATGAAACAGGGAATTAGAGAGTTCTCCTTCTAAAAGCAGCACAAAGACTTTGTAGCTCCTTAAACCAGTGCTTCCAACCCAAGATGGATATTTTGGGTTTTCTTAATTTCCAAGTATTTATGCCTCAAGTATTATATGTACCCTTTTTACTAGTGAAATTAATTTAGCTTTAAGGATATTGGCAGTAGTTTTTGAGATACTAGGAGCCTTACAAAAATCATGGGAGTAGGATTCTCTGTCCTACGGATGTATAAAAAATAAAATGCAAATTAAAACTGGTTATCCAATCTTAGCACAGGACTTCCTGACTTCAGGTGAAGTAGAGATAGGGTGGAGATAACTCTCTTATGTATGTTTGTATACCTGTGTGTGTATATGTATGCATGTGTGTGCATATAAATATATGGATGTATGTAATAAATTCATGTTACACATACTCTATATAAACATAACCTAACATACATGTATTTTCTAGTACCTAGCAACATAAAATTCAAAATACCTGAGCTACAAAAATTAGCACATGCACAAATAAACTGGAAAATACAACCCCGTAATGAAAACAGTCAACAGAAATCAATAGAATCAGTCAACAGAAATAATACAGAACAAAGATATTAAAACATAAATAAACCTCATATGTTCAAAAAGGTAGAGGAAAGATTGAGCATGCTAAGGAGATACAGAAGACAGAAAAAAGACCCAAAAGTATCCCATTGTTGTAAAAAATATACTGGCTGGTATTATCAGCTGATAAGACATTGCAGAATGAAAGACCAGTAAACCTGAAGACATAACAACCAAAACTACCAAAGGTGTGTCACCTTTTCTGTAACACACGAGTCACAGAAACCGAATGAAAGGTGGAAAGGGGATAGAAAATAAAAATTCAAAAAATAACAGAAAACTTACGAATTTGATCAATAAGGATATATAAGATTTAACCAACTTGACCTGACATTTTAGGGCACTCCATCTAACAAAACAATACACAATATTCTCAAGTACAAATGGAACATTGTCAAAACAGGCCATAGTCTGGGTCATAAATTAAATCTTAATAAATTTAAAAGAACTCAAATCATACAAAGTATTTCTCTGACCACAATGGAATTCAAATAGAAATCAATGATACAACGATATCTGGAAAATCTCCAAATATGTGGATACCAAACAATGTAATTCTAAATAAGTTAGGATATAAGGAGGAATCAAAAGAGAAATGAAAAAAGTGGTTAACTGAATGAAAACAAAAACAAGAATGTGGGATGCATCTAAAACAGTACTGAAGGGGCGCCTAGGTGGCTCTGTCCGTTGAGCATCTGACTCTTGATTCTGGCTCAGGTCGTGAGCTCTAAATCTTGCTGGATTCAATTGGTTGGATTCATGGCATTCCTTCATGACTGAGGTTTATTCCAAAACTGCAATATTGGTTTAACATTTCAAAATCAATCAGTATAATTCACCAAGTTAGACTTAAAAAGAAAAAAAATTATAATAGATGGAGAAAATGAATTTGACAAAATCCAATATCAAGTTAAGATTTTTTAAAAGCTACTCAGCAAACTAACAAAAGAACTTCCTCAACTTGATAAAGGGCATCTACAAAATACCTATGGCCGATAGTATATATGCTTCATGGTGAAAAACAGTGTTAATCCCTTGAAGACTGGAATGAGGCAAGGTTGTCTGCTCTTAATTTTTATTCAACAGTGTACTGGAGGTCCTAGTCATTGCAATAAGGAAAAAACAAAAACCAGACAAATGGGAAAGGAAAAAGCAAGTCCAGCAAATCTCTTCCTCCTTCCAGCCCTAGTTAAAAGCATCAGTAGTGCTTACCAGTACCTTCTATTGTGTATCAGTCTCATCTCTATATACTTGTCCCACCAGAATATTCTCTTTTCTAACTACACATGACCTAATCTCAAGCAAGACTGTTAAAAGCCAAAACTTTTCCTAATTCCCAAAGGATAGATTTTGGCAACAATACCAGTCTGGTCACAAGAAAGATACTAATGATATTTTTGTCCTGACAGCCACTCTGGATAATGGTATTAGAATGCTGGGCTCCTGACACACTTCCACTACTGGCATTAGGTATCAGGTAATTTCAGAAGTCGGTCTCTACTCACTTGAAATTAAAAAAAAAAAAAAAAAAAAAAAAAATTTCCAAATTAAAACATATACATGTACATGTAGGGGCGCCTGGGTGGCTCAGTTGGTCAAGTGTCTGCCTTTGGCTCACGTCATGATCTCAAGGTCCTGGGACTGAGCCCTGCAACTAGGCTCCCTGCTTCGTGGGGAGTCTGTTTCTCCCTCTGCCCCTACCCCTCTCCTGAGCACAAGCTCACTTGCTCTCTCCCTTCTCAAATAAATAAAATCTTAAAAACATATATACACACACATAAATTGTCTCAGGGAATTGTCTTAGAAAGAAGGATGTGTGTGTGGCACTTCTCTCTTCTGTAATTCTTTCTGAGGTGATCCACTCTCATAGCTCTTCCTAGCAGAGGCCATCTGGTCTTTCGAAGAGAGTGAGAGAGAGAGAGAGAGAGTGTGTGTGTGTGTGTGTGTGTGTGTGTATGAATCTTCCTTATCTACCCACCCCTTTATTGAGATATAATTCTTAGATACTCAAATTTGCCTTTTCAAAGGATGGGGTTAAGTGGCTTTTATTATATTCATAACTCTGGGCA